TTTCATTATGTCCCGATTGCTGTATTAATTGATTCAAATTTTATTGATACAGTGTGCAATCTATTTTTAGATGGAGCAGAAATGGAGCAGAAATTCACATTTGTATTGTGTTGGCTGGCTGACACTCGTTTTGGGAGGCTGATCTGACAGCTGTGTCATGTGTCGTATATTCCAGTAACAGGATCCGGAAGATGATTCCAGTCTGAGTAACAAGAGGCCAATAGGATCCCAGTGACGCGATCAATGACCGGTAAGCCGAGCTCTCTCTTTGTCTATGACCCACCCAGGTGCTTGTTTTCCGATGACTGTTTTGCACAATTCCTAAAAGTCTGCAGAGGAAGTGACGATGTAATGTACAGCCGTACATGTGTGCGTGTGTTCGTGCGCCTGTGAGCATGTGTGTGTGTGTGTGTGTGTGTGTGTTTGTGCCTGCATGTGTGTGTTGTGAAATAGTATTTGCCCCCTTTCTGATTTCTGTGTTCTTTCATCTTCAATACTCCTCAAATGCAATTCAAGAAATGAGTTGAACCAACCTTCCTGGGCATTCTTTCCTCTACTCCAACAACTCATGAAATATTTAGTGTGGCTCAGTAACCTCTCTCTCTCTCTCTCTCTCTCTCTCTCTCTCTCTTTCTCTCCTCCTTCTCTCTCTCTCTCTCTCTCTCTCTCTCTCTCTCTCTCTCTCTCTCTCTCGCTCTCTCTCTCTCTCCCTCTCACTCTGTCTTACATATAAATATCCACAGTGAGGAGAGGAAACACTGGGGTAAGGAAGGTGTTAAAGTGTAAGCGATGCCCCACACACCAACGAGTAGCCTACGCACCCTTACTTACACACATACACAGGTTGGACTTCATGGTTACCTCAAGTGTTCTTCCAGTCCCATTTGATGTATTCGGTCTAGCTGGGTGGGTGTGTATTGGGGTAGCAGGATACAAATTTGACACCCGGACGATCGGCAGCTGCCGGCTGTTTAATCAACAGTGATGAATATTTGATGGGGTGGTGGCGGACAACCGATGGCCGACACTCTCCTCATTATTGAAGTCCATGTGTACAGTGGAACATATTGAATATCAACGGATGGAGAGCTCGCTGCTCTCTGCCACACATAGCATGCACACAGATATAGCAGGTCTGTCTCTACTGCCCGGACAGCAATGGTCTCGCCTATGTGGCCGTAAACAAAATAAAATACTTGAAAGAAACATTGACGGGCAATAATGTGAACACAAACTAGACAAGGGTGTGCCTGGAATAGAAATTAAACGTGGTTTTTATCATCTAAACAATCAAAAAAATGTGCCCACTGCCCACAGAGTTCCAAAAGACATGCAGAAGAAGAAGAGTTGTTATTATTTGTTTAAATCTGTTTTAAAGTATGTCTAAAGCAAAAATGAAAGATTCTTCTAGTTTGTTACACGAGAGTGAACATTGTAAACAACCCTGCGTACATCAAGTGCAGCATATTCATTTATGATCTTTTATTCTGTATTTTAAATGTTTTGCAATACAGTGCTATTATTATTAGTAGTAGTAGTAGTAGTAGTAGTATTTTTATCTTGTCTGGAACACACACAATTTCTTTATCAACAACATTTACAAATCAAAAGGAAGTGCACTGACTGTACAGTATGACGCGTTTTTCGTGGCATGCACTTCGATTTGTGCCACGTGCGTGACGTCATCGGAGTGGGTTTCAGGACTCGGGTTCAAAGAGCAGCGCTTGAGAGGCAGGGACCGCCAAATAGATGCCATTTCATACGCACGAATTGAGATTGACAGAAATGTGTACGTCTGAACTTGTAGCTTTGGGGCGGGGTGGGGGTGGGGGCACGCAAGGGAATTTTCGTTGGAATTTCCGCTCACCGGAGCGCATGTGGACGGTGTGCCTCTTGGACTGCGTTCTTACTTGCTCGGAGATGCCGAGTTGGCCGACGTTAATTTCATTTCAATGAACTACTGGAGTTTATTGTAATGGCAAGTTGGCTGCTATGAGTCTGTCGTCTCATGCCCCTGCGACTAAGTGCTAAGTGCTACTTGCACAGTGCACGTCTTTTATTGTTTCCAAAGCCACAGTGACGGAAGGAAAATTCTTTCAGGCCTGATGGTCGCTAAACCGCACATTCAACGACGACGCCGACATGAATCCTTGATCACCAAACGGCACAGTGGCCGAATGTGACAGATTCCTCGTTTATTTATTTCAATCTGTAAAACCACCAAGACAGGCTTCGTGATATTTGTAAAGCTACACGGGCCAACATTTCTCTTTTACAAACGATAAACACTGATGGTCGACATTTTGTCGATTATTTAATTTTTTTGCGAACGCTGATTTTATTGATACGCACCGCTTCTTTTTTTTTAATCGGATGTCAGGTGTTGCGCATGCATGAAACACCGCAATGTCAAGTTGACTCTTGCAAGGCAACTTGTGCGCCCTCCCACTCAAGTTTTCCGAAAATATTCGCGCGCACTGGCGTCGTTGCCCTCACGCGAGCGAATCCAATTTGCCGTCTTTCGATATGCGGGCGAGCCGCATATCCTCGAAGCATCAGTGGCGACATGACGAGAGGTCAGCCCCCCCAAGATCAAATATTTTTCTTGCTAAATGGCGGATTTATTAGACAAATACGTCATTCGTCTGACTTTGAACCCTGTGTGATTGAAATATACCCGTGTGTCAACAGCGTCGCTTCTCAAACCAGTCCCGGGCGATGCATGGCTGCCACCGCGGATTACTGAGCAAATATAATGGGAAATGAGTGCAGATCTGGGGGATCTACCCCCTCAACATCCCCCGGTTTGACATTTCCGTCAAAGGCCAGCCGCAGCCATGCAGACTCGCTCCCTCCCTCCCTCCCTCCCCCGCGCATTGTTGCCTCAACTGGGCCCTCGACGGGCGTTCGGATTATTCTTTCTTTCTTTTCTTCTTTTTTTTTCTCGGAGCGCATTGAAGTCGAACAACGTCAGAAAAGAAACGACGCGGCGTGCGAGCTCGCGCTCCCATTCCTCGCACCTTTTAGCAAGCGTTCTAATGATGTCATCCATCTTCGCGCGGCTGCCTAACAGCCGCGATTAGCTCGCGGGCCCGCTGGCTTCGGCTTGCAGCCTCGAAAAAGTCAGACGCTCGTAAATCTGAGCCGCGCCGCGTTGCCATAACGTGTGCTCACATCATTATTTGGCGACGTGCGCGGTGTCAGAGAAGCTCGCATCTCATCTGTCAGGAATCCAATTTCCTCTTATTTACATCCACGCCATAGATTAATTACTGCCCCGACTAATGGCCCGAAGGTGTGCAATTTATATGAGACGGTCTCGTGCAATGCACGGCATCAACGTGAGGAAGAGGAGGAACTGGAATAATCATCACGATCGTGGATGGCCTTGTAATTATTATTATTATTATTATTATTATTATGATTGTTATTATTATTAGTATTAAATTCAGTGCTGAATTATGTGTTACAAACGCTATACAACTGTGGACGAAATAAACCGGAGAGACCACTGCCACGTTTTCATTTTCGTTTATTTTGAAATGTGTTTCAATAAAATGTTTTTTTTAATGTTACGCCCGAATACAAATATTACCATTTTGAGTTTTTTAGGGGGGGGGCAGAAAATGGTCACAATAACTGCACTTCCTCCACACACACACACACACACACACACACAAGTTCGATGCGTTTCTCTTTTTTTCCCAGACATTTTGTCTGGGAAATGAACACAGAAAATTGACTTCTGACAACGTGAACAAGGCTAAATTGAGCTGCAGTTTGTACTCAGAAGTGCACCAAATTGCAACGCTTCCTCCTGAACCCCGCGCCGCATCTCGTCATCGCTTAAAAGTGGTTTTGGTTGAACTTTTTTTTTCTCTCTTCGGTCAGGAGCTATAAATGGGGATGAAAACATAATCTGCTTGTCAGAAATCCTCGTCAGAATAATTGGACGCTCACGAAGGTGCAAGTCACGCCCCACCAAGTATCGAAAAGCAGACCGAACGCACGTAAAGGCGGGCCCGTGCGGCAACGCCACCTCGGCCCATTCTTAATGGCGCTTTAAGGGTTGGTTATGATATCGGCGAAGTTCCCGATGAAATATGCCTCTGATTAATAGAGGCCTCTGTCGTAACAGGCTGACATATGGTAGGCGAGCCAGCTGGGGACGGAACCTCGGGCATCCCCTCCGGCCATTAACATATTAGAGGCTATTGTGCAGGCAGAGCGTCCGACTTCATCCACGGCCCCTGTGCAGCGAGACCGCCGCCCAGAGCTGTTTGATAGAAGCTTTCAATAATGCATCACTCCTCGCTCCGCCGGCGGAGCTGTTCGTGGTGCTGAAAATTATTGCCGTGGCGCGGCTGCGTTCCAAACAACATGCAAATTGCACAGGGATTTTCAGAACGGATATATATATATATATATATATATATATATA